TGGGGGGAATCATGAACCTTAATTTTGTGAGCAGACGGCTGGTGGTGGTGACCAGACGTGGGAGGTGGGTCGTTCGTGCTGAGTTTGTGGGAGTCCTGGGCCATGCAGCTGTGCCCGCTCTGGTTCATCTCCAGACGCCCTGTGCTCGCCAGCGAGGACCCGGGGCCCAGAGGTGGTGTCGGTGGTGGGACCACAGTGGGGATGAACTCGGTGACTCAGGATCACTCGGTGCCACCGTCCTGACTCCTCCTCAGGTGCCGACAGCACAGCTCTGGCACCATCGGTGAAACCGCGGGGTGAGGTCCCGGAAGGACCTCTGGGAAGGCCTCCTGTTTGAGGGAGGTTGACGGGTGTGGGTGGTGGGCGGTGGGGTGCAGCTGTGATGGGCTGAGGGGTGCTGGGGTCCATCCACGTGGGGCCATGGTTGGAGAAGAGGCATGGTCCCACCCCGCCCTCGGTGGACAGTGGGACTTTGGGGTCCTGGGCTGAGGCAGCTGGCCCCCCGCCCTACCTGGTGGGGTGGGTCATGGTGGTGTTACTGAGAGGCGCAGCCAAGGATGTTCCTGGGAGGTGATGCCTGAAGTCAGGTGCCGACGTCCGGGCAGGCGGGTGAGCTGTGTGAGCGTTGCGGGTCGGGACCTGTGTGCGGGCTCAGTGCTGGTCCTGGGTGTCTGGAGGCCAGCTCCCCCCAGGGGCCTGACTGGGCGCTGCCTCCCCCAGCCCAGGATCGCCCCAGCTTCTCGTCATCCCAGCTCTGGAAAGGCAGACTTTGTAACCTCTGTGCTGACTGAGGTGGAAGCAGCCCAGGCTCCTGGCTCCTGGGCCGGCTGCCCCCGCGGTCCCTGCCCCACCTGTGTCTCTGCGTCTTGGTCCTGCGCTTTCCGGGACATGGGTCCCTCAGCTGCGCTAGGGCCTCTGTGTGTGCCCGCAGTCCAGGCCCCCGTCCACATGGGATGCAGGCCGAGCAGGCGGAGGAGCGCCCATGCACGCGGGTGTGCGGTGAGCGCCGAGCACCGTGGGCTGTGGGCCCCACGTGGGGCGCCAGGCCCTTCACCCCTGGCCGCCTTGGGGGCATGGGGCCCTACCCTCTGCTGGCCCCACATCGGGCGCCAGGCCCTTCATCCCCGGCCTCCCCCGGAGCAGGGGTCCCCACATTTTTCTAGCCCACGTCGGCTTCCCCGGGGCAGGGCCCCGCCCTCAGCTGCAGGAGCCGTGGCCCAGTGTGTTGGGCCCCTGGGGACAGAGCTGCTGCTCATCTGAAGTCTTTTCTAGCTGCTTTTTGCAACAGTTTATTTTGAAATAATTTCAAACATACAGAAAAGTTGCAAGGTTAGCACAGTGATACCCGTCTATCTATACCACACTCCACTGTGTCCTTCACATGTGCCCCCGTGTGAACCCACCTACGTGCACATGTGTGCAGCGTGTCTCCTCTGAAGTGCTCAGAGTCAAGTCCAGACTCTTAACCGCAGACAAGGACATTCCCCTTGAATAACCATCAGAATATGATGGTGCAGCTGTGTGGTCTGCACACGACTGTCACGTTACTCACACATGGACCCAGCACCCCATCACTGTGTGTACAGCCGTGTGGTCACACGAGGACACGTTCACGGTGCTTGGTCGTTACTGTGCTTACAGTCATCTTGTGGTCACACGTGGTTACCTGTGGACACGATGCTGGTCACTGTGTGTATGTTCAGTCACCTTGTCACATGTGGTCACATGTGAACACAGCCCCCAGTCACAGTTGTTACATTGCCACATGTGCTTACACGTGGATGGGGCACCCAGTCACTGTGTGTAGTCGGGGTCACACGTGGCTACTGGTGAGCATGGCACACGGGCACTGTGTGTACAGTCGTGTTGTCACATGGACACAGTGCCTGTCACTGTATGTGCAGGCATCATGTCACACATGGTCACTCCTGGACACAGCGTCTGCTCACTGTGTGCACAGCTGTCGCGTGGTCACACGCGGAGACGGTGCCTGGTCGCCGTGTGTGCAGTTGTCATGGTAACCCTCCACGCCACTTCTGTGCTCTCGCCGGGAGCTTGCGGGGTCTCCTGGCTCCTCTGGTCTCCAGCTCCCCAGTCTTCCTTATCCAAGGGTCTGCGCTGCTTTCCAGAAGCCTAGGGTTGGGTGTCAGGAGACCGGAGACCTGCCTCTTTTCCATGATGATCCAGGGTGAGGAGAACCTGCAGGTGTCCCCAGTACTTGAGGACAGTCTTGCAGGAGATTACTGGGAGATTTTGTAAAGGTCGTGTTTCTCATGAAGCTCCTCCACAATTTGTAGTGACAGCTTCCGCCCCCAGCGTGCTCTGCCATCAATGGTTGGAATCTTGGGTAAGGAGGTGCATCCCTGCTGGAAAGCTGATACTCGTGTTGCTCACTCAGTGGACACGAGTCTGAGCAAGCTCCAGGGCTTGGCGATGGGCATGGAGGCCTGGAGTGCTGCAGCCCATGGGGTCGCAGGGTCGGATTCGGCTGAGCTGGCTCGTTCATCAGTGCTGGTGTTTACTCACCATCGTTCCTGTCATTACGCATTCTGACACTCAGAGGAATGACGCCCAGGAGTCTCATCCCGGCAGTCTGTCCTGGTTCTTGGACACAGCCCGCCAGCTTTCAGCGCGTCCTTCTTGGGTTAGCCTGAGGTTCTGAGCTGCTCTTGTGCCCTGGCCGCCCCAGCTGGTCCTCTCTCCCTTGAGCCTGGTCCTCTCTCCCTTGAACCTCGTCCTCTCTGTGGAGGCAGCACATAGGAGTGACTCTGTGCGGTGCCCCAGGGCCCCACTCTGTTGTAATGTCTCTGGAGGTGTCCCAGGCGCGCCAGGGTGGGCTGAGGCTCCTGCAGAGCAGGGCCGGGTTCACCCGCCAGTTCTCCATGTGGGGATTGTCCCGGCCTCTGCCTGGAGGGGAGCCCGCAGGCCTCAGGTCTCAGCCTGTGTTCTGTTTGGTTCAGGTTTTGTTATGGTTTGGGCTGGGTGTTCCCTGAGTGCACATGCTGGCGGGGCAGGGGGCTGGTGGTGTGCCGGGTGGGGGCCATCGGGGAACAGGTGCAGCTGCCTGAGGGGGTGCGTCTGGGCCTCCCATGTTAGCAGGTCTGGGGTGGGGGCGGGGGGCCAGCCTCAGGGTGCGGAGCAGGGGCGTGGGGAGCGGAGGCCTTGGGGGCAGGGGGTGGGGGCTGGGTGAGGAGCAGGGGCCTGGGGAGTGGAGGTCGCACTGTGCTGTTCCTGGAGATGAGAAGGGTGTGTCAGGTCTGCCAGTCAGTGCGCTCCCACCTCCAGGGAGCAGGCCGGGGCCTCAGCTTTCCTTGGTGCCAGGCCACGCTCCCGCTTCCTAACTGCGGTGGGGCCGTGCGGTGGGCCAGCGCCAGCAAACCATGCTGTCGTCCAGGCCTGAATGGGGTGAATGCAGGCTATTGAGAGGGCTGAGAAGACCCCCGCAGCTGTGCACCCCTGCTTCTAACATCACAGTCCCCACTGTTTCACCCTCATAGCCGACCCCGCTGTTAAAACGCACAGCCCCCACTGTTACGCCCTCACTGCCCCCACTGTTACGCCCTCACAGCCCCCACTGTTACACCCTCACAGCCCCCACTGTTACACCCTCACAGCCCCCACTGTTACGCCCTCACAGCCCCGACTGTTACACCCTCACAGCCCCCACTGTTACACCCTCACAGCCCCCCACTGTTACGCCCTCACTGCCCCCACTGTTACCCTCACTGCCCCGACTGTTACGCCCTCACAGCCCCCACTGTTACGCCCTCACAGCCTCCACTGTTACGCCCTCACAGCCCCCACTGTTACGCCCTCACTGCCCCCACTGTTACGCCCTCACAGCCCCGACTGTTACGCCCTCACAGCCCCCACTGTTACGCCCTCACAGCCTCCACTGTTACGCCCTCACAGCCCCCACTGTTACGCCCTCACTGCCCCCACTGTTACCCTCACTGCCCCCAGTGTTACGCCCTCACTGCCCCCACTGTTACGCCCTCACAGCCCCCACTGTTACGCCCTCACAGCCCCCCACTGTTACGCCCTCACTGCCCCCAGTGTTACGCCCTCACAGCCCCGACTGTTACACCCTCACAGCCTCCACTGTTACGCCCTCACAGCCTCCACTGTTACGCCCTCACAGCCTCCACTGTTACGCCCTCACTGCCCCCACTGTTACGCCCTCACAGCCCCCACTGTTACGCCCTCACTGCCCCCACTGTTACGCCCTCACTGCCCCCACTGTTACGCCCTCACAGCCCCCACTGTTACGCCCTCACTGCCCCTCACCCTTGCTGAAGTTCATGTGTGTGTGTCTTCACCCCCACTGGCACACAGCTCTCAGGACTTTGCTGAAACAGGCCCCTGAGGCTCTGAGCACAGAAGTCTCTGTGTTGTCCATTTGTCTGTTGCTGTTCTCTGGCTCCTGAGGACGTCACACCGCTGTCCCTGGTCCTGTTGCCTGGGCCCTGCCATGCACTGCGGCCCCCTGGACTGGCGTCCCCAGCACAGGACAGGCGCTCAGGAATGGGGCCGGCCTTTAGGCCCCTGTGCCCATGGACTGAGCTCGCTCCTGTAACGGGGCGCCCCGTGGCCCCCTGGGAGCGGCTGTCCACCCCGGTGCCAGCAGCTGTGGTAAGGGGGCTGGGACTCGGTAGTGCTGCCGGGCCCCCCTGTGTGTGTGCACGTGACTCAAAAAACAGCTGGTCTTAGGTCCTTGGGGGCCCTCAGGGACCCCAGGGTCCCCCACTTTGAAAACCCCTGAGTTTCAGACCACTGGTCAGGTCACACACACGGGGCCTGGAAGTGGGAGGGTTTCCGTGGCGTTTCCTGGGCCTCTTGTGAGCACTGGCCTCTCCCCTTGCAGCCCGTGTCGTGGGCGTCCTCACGGGCCTTCGGTGCCCAGTCCGCTGTCCTTGGTGGGCCGGTTCTGATGTGGGTGTGATGCCCATGGACTGGGGTTCTCTGGTGGAGCGTGACTCATGAATGCTTCTCTTCCGCAGGCAGTTCCGGCGAAGGGGGAGACCAAGCAGGACTGTGGCCTGGGAGCCGAGCTGCCGAGTGAAGGTAAGGGTGCCGGGGCCTGCAGGGGTGGCTGCACGAGGTGTCGGCTTGGAAGCCCCCCGAGTTGTCCAGCAGTGGAGGGAGGCTGGCGAGGGGCTGGGGCCCGGGGAGCCTCTGGCCGCCCTGTGTGGGCCGGCCTGGATGTGCCGGGCTGGGCCCGCCCGTGGTGGGTGAGCCCCGCCCCCGAGCCTGCCGCTGGGCCTCCTGAGGGCAGCGTCCTGGCCGGATGGTGCCACCTGGGCCCTCTGCACTCCTGTCCCGGGCTTCTGCCTGCCTCAGCCGGGGCCCAGACCAGCTGGGGGCTGAGGCCAACCGAGCTCGCAGCTGTGGATGCCCAGCCAGGCCCTGGCCTCTGAGGGCGTGCAGATGCCGGGCCGAGCCTGCTGTGTGTGGGCAGCTGCTCCGCCAGGTGCAGGCTGGGCCATCTTGGCAGACATTGCAGGGAGCCGGGGCCGGTGTCCTGTGGGGGCCCGGGCGCCTGGTACGGTGACCCTGAACCTCCCGGGGCGAGGCCTCAGGTGGCCTGCTGGCGGGGAACACCTTGTGCCCCAGGCTGGCGGCCACGTTCATGTGTGTCCTGAGCTGTGACGGGGACTCTGATGGCCCCGCTTCCTCCCAGGCAGCATCTCTGTCACCTTTCACATCCATGGGGTCCTCATCTGTGACCGCATGTGCACACCCGAGGGTGACCGTGAGTGACGCATTGTGGGCCCTGGCTTGGGGCTGGCGGCAGGCAGCCTCACTCTGGGAGAAAGGACCCAGGGGCCCAGGTCACAGGGCAGGGTTGTGTGGGCGACAGCATGTGCCCCCGAAGTGCGTCAGATTCCAGGAGAGCTGCTGGGGCTCTGGGGCTTGGTGGGCTGGGGCTGGGGGGCCTTGCTGCCCAAGTCCTGGAGCCCCACGCCTCCCCAGGTCAGAAGCCCGTGCTGGGGGCAGCTCGTGTCTGCCTCCAGTCCCAGGTGCCTGGCTTGCACTGATGGACGGACGTCTGTGGCCGTGCCCTGCTTACCGCCTCACTCGCCCCTGGGGGTTCAGCCTGCAGCCCCTATCTGCTGTCCCCGGCCACCCACACACTGTCCTGCAGCCCCTCTGCTCCCGTGTGGGACCCCTGGAGCCCTGCCTCAGCGTTCTCCCCCGGCGCTGTGCTTTCCTCTCCCCTGACATGCTGCCGTCCATGGGCTCCTCCCCTCCCTCTGTCCTCCTGGACCTTTTCCTAAAGAACCTGAGGGTGAGTGCTGCCGGGTTCTGGCGTGGCCCTTGAGCCCAGCCCTTGGCCCCTCCCAGGAGCCTCCAGGCTGGTTGCCGTGGCGGCTGCCCCGCGTCCATCCCCACAGCACTGGCTCGTGGGCCCCGTCTTTCTGATCAGAGCCGTTGGGTTTTGGTGTGTCTCCCTGTTGACTGCTGACGCTGGGCATTTCTTCTTGTGCTTATTAGCCTTCTGTATATCTTCTTGGTGGAAATGTCAGTTCAGATCCTTTGTGCATAAAATTAGTTACTGATTTTTTTTAAAAATTTATTTTTTAATTGAAGGATAATTGCTTTACAGAATTTTGTGGTTTTCTGTCAAACCTCAACATGAATCAGCCATAGGTATACATCTGTCCCCTCCCTTTTGAACCTCCCTCCCATCTCCCTCCCCACGCCACCCCTCTAGGTTGACACAGAGCCCCTGTTTGAGTTCCCTGAGACATAGAGCAAATTCCTGTTGGCTCTCTATTTTATATATGGTAATGTAAGTTCCCATGTTACTCTCTCCATACATCTCACCCTCTCCTCCCCTCTCCCCATGTCCATAAATCTATTCTCTATGTCTGTTTCTCCATTGCTGCCCTGTAAATAAATTCTTTGGTACCATTTTTCTAGATTCTGTATATATATATTAGAATTTCTCTTTCTCTTTCTGACTTACTTCACTTTAGGTTCATCCTCCTCATTAGAACTGACTCAAATGTGTTCCTTTTTATGGCTGAGTAATATTCCATTGCGTATATGTACCACAACTTCTTTATCCATTCATCTGTCAATGGACATGTAGGTTGCTTCCACGTTCTAGGTATTGTAAATAGTGCTTCAATGAACAATGGGATACATGTGTCTTTTTCAGTTTTGGTTTCCAGGGTATATGATTAGGAGTGTGGGGTTGCTGGGTCCTATGGTGGGTTATTGATTTTTATTGATGAATTGTCAGAGGTTTTTCAAAATACATTTAAGATGCAAGTTCCTTATCAAATGCGTGATTTGCAAATACTGCCTTCCAATCTGTACTTTGGCCACCTGATGTGCAGAGGATAAAATGGTTAGATAGCATCATCAGCTCAATGGACGTGAGTTTGAGCAAACTCACGTTTGGGAGATAGTAAAGGACAGGGGAGCCTAGTCTGGTGTAGTCCATGGGGTCGCAAAGAGTCAGACACGACTTAGCAACTGAACAACAACAGTCTTTTCACTTTCTTTTCACTTTCTTGACTGTGTTCTTGGAAGCACAAAATAAAGTCCAGTTTATCTGTTTTTCTTTGGTTGCTTATGCTTTTGTTATAGCGTCTAAGAAACCATTGCTTATAGAAGGTCATAAAGATTTATGCCTGTGTTTTTGTCTTATAGTTAGAGCTTGGGTATGTTTTCAGTTAATTTTTGTATATGGTGTGTCAAGGGCCCGACTTCCTTTTTTGGCGAGTGGAGGTGTTTGTCCCAGAAACTTTCCTTTCTGACTGCTCTCAGTACCCGGCCCAGGGTGGCTGTGCTCCGGGCCCCGTGACCACCTGCATCCGCATCCTCCTCGGTGTTTCTGCTTCCCATTTCTTCACTCTTCTTTTTCACAATTTCTTTTACTGTTTGTGAAACGTTATTTTCCCTGCGCATTTTAGACTTAAGATTATGGAGTTCCTCAATATACTGATTGGAACTTCAGTTAGGGTATCATTGAACTTAGAGAGTTAATTTGAAGTGACTTGCATCTTTGTATTTTTGCCATCTCCATAGAGACTTTGCATGTTCTTGGTTAAATTTTATATCCTATTTTATAGTTTTCTGCTTTTGTGAATACTATCTTATTTTTTGCTCATGTTTTCTTCCCTAAAGTTTGTGCTGGCATAGAAAAATGTCCTTGTTATTTGCATTTGATTTCAGGTCTGGCAGCCTCTGCACCCCTGTTTGACGTGCCCCTGTGCCCCAGGTGTGTGGGAGAGCGCGCTCCTTGTTGCCAGGCCTCTTGCTTCATCTCTTCTCTTTTGGGGCCACCTGGGACCCCACTCTTGTATGAACCTTAGTGGTATTAATAGATGTCCTGACATTGTTTCTGATCTTACATAGAATTCATGTAACATTTCTGAATAAGTATACGTTTGCAGTAGATTGGCACATGGGCTTCTCCAAGCTGAGTAGGTTTTTCACCCATTCTGTTTTGCTGAGGATTTGAAAAAACTAATAGCCATTTATTGATTCAGATAGTACTTACTGCACTTATGTTTCTGTGCGCAGGCTATAGTAGTGAATGAGGGCCTCGCCCCAGGGGCCAGTGCTGCTGTGATGGAGTTGTGAAGGTGCTGTGCTATTACCCGGGGGCTGGGCTGGTGGGTGGTGGGCTCCTGGACATGACCACTGTCAGCTGCACCCAGTGCTGTAACTGTGGGCTTTCTCCTGCTGGTGGCAAGTGTGTTTCTTGTTTATCAAGTTGTGGAGGAGATGAGCTTCAGAGACGAGAGGTTTGTAAGCTCCTGACTGACAGACTGAACGCATCCCGTTTTCTTTAGGTCTGTTCTTGGGCAGCTGCTTCGGAGGTCTTGTTTTCTGTCTGAATCCTCCCCAGTTTTGTTCTCTAGCAGTGACTTTGTTCCTGGAGGATACTAAATCCGTGTCATGTGTTTGAAGCCTTTTAAGAAGTAATTCATAGACAAGTGGGTGTTTGTTTCAAGGACCATGGCCCCGCCCACTCCTCGGCTGGGGATCAGGGCAGACTGCCCTCCCTCCCGGGCTCAGGTCGTCCCCCACTTCATCAAGTCACTGTTGAGATAGCGACTGTGATGTGCTTTGTATTTAGTCCATCTGAAGTCAGATGTTTGTCCATGAAGTAAACAGTTTCCTGTGAGCATAGCAGTGGGACTCTGTGTTGGGGTCACAGGTGGGCACCCCTGACTCTTGTCCTCTCTCTGCAGGGTCACCCATGGCTGCTGATGACGGCTCAGCGGAACAGCAGGGAGGGGAGGCCCCGGTGGCTGCAGATGGGGAGACCAACGGGTCCTGTGACCAGAGCGATGCGAGCGGCCACGCGGCTGCTGTGAAGCACCCTCAGGAGAGCACGCGAGGCAGCCCGCAGGAGGGGGCTGGCCCGGGGGCCCGGATAGCGGAGAATGGGATTCTGGACAGAGACCCCGAGGCGGGGAAGCAGAACCACATCCGCTCTGATGGCTTCCCCCAGAGTCCTGTCGTCGGGAGCAACGGTTACTTCCTTGGCAAGGCCCCATTGTCTGAGCCGCCACTGCGGGTGGCCAGCACCCTGGCTTCCTCCCTGCCTGGCCACGCGGCGAAGACCCTCCCTGGCGGGGCTGGCAAAGGGAGGACTCCCGGTGCTTTTCCCCAGCCACCGGCTGCTGTGCCAGCCAAGCCTGGGGAGGGCGGCAAGGACACAGAGGACAAGAAGGCCCCGGCCCCGGGCGCCGACGTCAAGGTCCACAGGGCTCGGAAGACCATGCCGAAGTCCATCCCGGGCCTGGTAACACGTCCCTGTTGGGAGGGCCTCTCCTGTCTGTCTGCTCTTGGTTTCGTGTTTGGACGCAGGTGGACTTCTCTGCGCAGAGGGGAGAGGCCGGGAAGAGGGGTTCATTCGCCAGGGCTGCCAGCTGGGTCTCCGTGGGTGATTGCCAGCCTGTCTTCAGGGCTTCCCTTGGTGTGCCCAGCCGACAGGTTGCTCCTCCCCCTCTTTGGGAGTCACTTTCTTGGGAGGCTCAGCACCCATCCGTCTCATTGGGGAGAGAGCAGCGGGGAGGGCCGTTAGGCCCAGAGCTGCTGAGCTATCTGCTCCCAGGTGTGCAGTTACACCTGGGAGTTTCTTGGGCATGTCGCCGGCTGGTGCCCTAGGGCCTTCCCTGGGCCCCGTGGCCTGATGCACACCTGAGGCTGAGGGTTCTGCCACGTCCCCAGCTCCGCCGCCCCAGCGCCTCCTCCCCGAGCCCCGCCCTCCCAACACCTCCTTCCTGAGCCCCGCCCCTCCACCACCTCCTGCGCCTCCACCTCCTCCTGAACCCCGCCCCCAGCACCTCCTCCCCTCCAGCAGCTCATTACCCTGTCCATCTCCCTCCCGTGTCCCCAGCGCCTCGGTCCTGCTGGTCCTTTAACGCGTTGATGTTTTCCATTTTGACAGTTTTTTCTTTTTTCATATCCAGCGTATCTGATTAGATTTTAAGTTAAGAATATCTGTGTTCTTAGTTACATTTTTGTTTTATCCTTCAAAAGATAGTTACAAATCTTCTGTGGTCTGGGTTGAAACTGCCATTTCCTCACATGGGGTTCTGTTTGGACCCGGCACCTTTTATTTGGGTGATTTTCCTCTGAAATACTTTTCCACCAGGAATGTTCTCATCTTTGTGCTATAGCTCCCTGTCTCCTGACCCATCCCCTGCCTTCTGTGACTGTGGGCTGGAGGTGCTGGGAGCTGAACCACTGCCCATGCAGTGGCTGGCCCTGGCATGGCTTCTACTTTTTTGCAGTATTTTTTGTATGTGCCAAAACTTAAAAAACTTTTAAGTAGCTATTCACAGGAAGCCACACAGGTCAGAGAGACCCGTGACCCCTACCCAGGGCACAACAGTGCCCACCTGGCACCATGAGGCCCCCTCTGTGGTCGCCCCATCATCCCCATCCCTCATATCTGTTGAGTGTCATTTCAGATGTTCCATAACACGGGGTTATGGAATTTGGGGGCTTTCTTTTCTCACTCTGCACCTCCGACCTCTGCAGGCTGTGTCTGCAGGGCCCTTCTTTGCACGTTGACAAGTTGTGTGTGTTATGTAACGCTCGCCCATCCAGGGATATTTGGGTGGTTCTCAGTTTTGGACTGTTCCATTAAAGCTACACTACACACTCGTGCACATTTTCGTTTGGACCAAAGTCCTTGTTGTCTGTGAGAGTTTTGGGTGTGCACCTTTGTCACGTGTTGGTTTGCAGGTGTTTTCACTTGTAGCTGGTCTTCATCCTTGCACTTCTGAAGACATAGTCTTTCTTTAAGGAAAAGTTGTTCATTTTGATGAAGTTCAGCTTATACAGTTCAGTTCAGTTCAGCTCAGCTGCTCAGTTGTGTCCAACTCTTTGCGATCCTATGGACTGCCTGTCCATCACCAACTCCCGGAGTTTACTCAGACTCATGTCCATTGAGTCAGTGATGCCATCCATCCATCTTATCCTCTGTCATCCCCTTCTCCTCCTGCCTTCAGTCTTTCCCAGCATCAGGGTCTTTTCAAATGAGTCAGCTCTTCGCATCAGGTGGCCAAAGTATTGGAGTTTCAGCTTCAACCTCAGTCCTTCCAAGGAACACTTAGGACTGATCACCTTTAGGATGGATTGGTTGGATCTCCTTGCAGTCCAAGGGACTCTCAAGAGTCTTCTCCAACACCACAGTTCAAAAGCATCAATTCTTTGGCGCTCAGCTTTCTTCACAGTCCGACTCTCACATCCATACATGACCACTGGAAAAAGCATAGCCTTGACGAGATGGACTTTTGTTGGCAAAGTAATGTCTCTGCTTTTAACATGCTGTCTAGGTTGGTCATAACTTTCCTTCCAAGGAGTAAGCATCTTTCACTTTCATGGCTGTGGTAATTTTGGAGCCCCCAAAGATAAAGTCTGCCACTGTTTCCACTGTTTCCCATCTATTTGCCGTGAAGTGATGGGACTGGATGACATGATCTTAGTTTTCTGAATGTTGAGCTTTAAGCCAACTTTTTCACGCTCCTCTTTCACTTTTATCAAGAGGCCCTTTAGTTCTTCTTCACTTTCTGCCATAAGGGTGGTGTCATCTGCTTATCTGAGGTTATTGATATTTCTCCTGGCAGTCTTGATTCCAGCTTGTGCTTCATCCAGCCCAGCGTTTCTCATGATGTACTCTGCATATAAGTTAAATAAGCAGGGTGACAATATACAGCCTTGATGTACTCCTTTACCTTTTTGGAACCAGTCTGTTGCTCCATGTCCAGTTCTAACTGTTGCTTCCTGACCTGCAAACAGATTTCTCAAGAGGCAGGTCAGGTGGTCTGGTATTCCCATCTCTTTCAGAATTTTCCACAGTTTATTGTGATCCACACAGTGAAAAGCTTTGGCATAGTCAATAAAGCAGAAACAGAACTTACACAGTATTTTTCTGTTAAGACTGTGCTTTTGGTATCATCCCTAAAAACTCTTTGGCCAGCCCTAAATCCTGAAGATTTTCTCTAATTTTCATAGTTTTTTAGTCTTACGTGAACTTTAAGTATATATATGTGTGTTAGTCACTCATTCGTGTCTGACTCTTTGTGACCCCATGGGCTATAGCCTGCCAGGCTCCTGTGTCCATGGGATTCTCCAGGCAAGAATACTGGAGTAGATTGCCATTCCCTCTTCCAGGGGAATCTTCCCAACCCAGGGATCGAATCTGGGTCTCCCAAATTGCAGGTAGATTCTTTATCACTGAGCCACCAGGGAAGCCTTGAATATATGACCTGTTGTGAATTAATTTTTATACTAGACTTGAGGCTTAAGGTGAAGTTTATTTATTTGCCTACCATTTTTTGGCCCACCATTATCGATTTTAAAATGCATGTCAGAAAATTTTACATTATGTATTTATCTCATTGAAATTATACTTTTATTCTGTCCCCACTTCTAGAATTTTGTTCTAACATAGTTTTATTCTTGAAAGGTTTTTACTGTCACTGTCATATTCCTCTAGGGGGAAAAAAAAGCAATTTGAAATTTAATTTCAAGAAATGTCTCTGACCATAACGTTTATCTAAGGGTTAGCTTTGTTCTGGTGGAGTTGCTATGATTGTTGCTAGTACACAATCAGTTGCAGTGCTCATCATTCTGTTGGAAGTTACTGAGCACACTCAGGCTGTTTCAGGGAAACGAAAGAGAAGGGTTTTGAGGCTTCAGAAGCTGATTTGCTGAAGGCCATGCTCGCCTCCTCCACACACTGGTAACTCAGTCTGCTTCCCAGACCCCTGCGAGAGGATGGGCCTGGAGATGTGGAGACTGGGGGCCCTCCTGGCTCCCGGACCCAGACCTGGCCTCTCCTGACTGCTGGCTTTTCTGTTCCCCAGACCCTGCTCAGTCTTGTTCAGTTTTCTTAGGAAAGCATGTTTTATTGAAAATTGAGTTTTGAAAACAAACATGTTGCATGTTTATGACAAGAAATCTATTTTCCATTAAAAGTTTAAAAATGCAGGGTTTTTCACAGCTGGGCAGCCTCACGTCCCCACGCAAGGCAGAGCCAGTTGCCTCTTGGATGGTGGTGTCCACACCATCAGATTCACTGGCTCAGGGTTATGTTAGTCCTTGCTCACATGAAGGACGTGAGGGAGGCCCTTGTGCCCCACGCCGGCACGCTGTGTAGACCGGCCCCCTGTCTGACTCGAGTCCGCTCTTGGAGGTGCTGCCTGGGGCCTGGTTTTCTCTGTGGGTGTCTTTGTGTTCAGGAGAGGAAGGTGGGCCAGGCAGGGGTGGGTCTTAGTGCAGAGGGGGTGCATGTGGGTGTTTGTTACCCTGGAAGGGGGGCACCTGGCTGTGGCCTGGGCGTGGAGGCGGGGCGGCGAGCAGAGGCTGGGGTGGGGCAGACGCAGTTGTCCGCAGGTACCTTGGTCACAGGTGGCCATGCGGGCGTGTGCGGGTACTGTAGACGTGGGCATGAGTCCCCTCCCCATGTGGGGGACTGGCCTCGGCCTTGGCCCCGGCCCCGGCGGGGGCGCTGCCTGGAAGTCCACCCTAGCGTCTCTACCTTGGTGGGTTTGCTTGGTCAGTGGATAGAGCCCTATCCAGATGTAGAGTCTTCACTCAAGTTTAGCAGTTCTTAGCTTTATTTTTTAGATATTTCGAAAGGAGCCCTGTGCGGGGCCCCCAGGCAGGCAGGGAACGTTTGGAGGAGCCAGAGGGCGGAGCATGCTCGGGTCCGGCTTCGAGGAGCCTTGGCGTTGGAGCTAGGTCCCCGGGCCACCCCCAGGCAGACCTGTCAGCCTCTCCCAGATGTTGATGCCAGGAGATGAGGACGCCTTTTTTAAAACACTCTATTAAAATGCACATAACAGGATTTACCATCGTAGTCATGCTTAAGTGCCCAACCATCACCCTGTCATACCAGAACTTGCTCATCTCCCCAGACTGACCCTCTGTCCCTGCTAGACTCACTTGCCTCTCCTCCCCTCCTCCAGCTCTGTCTGTGCCCCCCTCCCCCCCGACACACCCTGCATCTACTGTCTGTCTCAGATTGACAGAATCAGTGCCTGGTCCTGCATAGAAGTAAGTTCAAGTTCAGCCGCTCATTTGTCTTTGCGACCCCATGGACTGCAGCATGCCAGGCTTCCATGTCCATCACCAACTCCTGAAGCTTGGTCAAACTCATGTCCATAGAATCGGTGATGCCATCCAGTCATCTCATCCTATGTCGTCCCCTTCTCCTCCCTCCTTCAGTCTTGCCCAGCATCAGTGTCTTTTCCAGTGAGTCAGTTCTTGTCATCAGGTGGCCAAAGTATTAGAGTTTCAGCTTCAGCATCAGTCCTTCCGATGAATATTCACGACTGGTCTCCTTTAGGATGGACTGGTTAGATCTCCTTGCAGTCCAAAGCACTGTCAAGAGTCTTCTGCAACACCACAGTTCAAAAGCATCAGTTCTTTGGCACTCAGCTTTCTTTATAGTCCAACTCTCACATCCAGGCATGACTACTGGAAAAATCATAGCTTTGGCTAGATGGGCCTTTGTTGGCAAAGTAATGTCTCTGCTTTTTAATATGCTGTCTAGGTTGGTCATAGCTTTTCTTCCAGGAACAAGTGTCTTTTAATTTCATGGCTGCAGTCACCATCTGCAGTGATTTTGGAGTCCAAGAAAAGTCACTGTTTGTATTGTTTCCCCATCTGTTTGCCAGGAAGCTGTGGGACAAAGATCCTTCATACAAGGATGTGTCCTTTTGTGTCTGGCTTATTCCACTCCGTATAGGGTCCTCAAGAGTCGTCTGCACTGTCTCAGAACATCCCTCCTTTTCAAGGCTGAGTGATATTCCACTGCATGAGTGTCCATGTACACACCACACACACACTTGGTTTATCCACTCTCCATCGTCGGGCACTTGGGCTGCCTCCTCCCTCATCTGCTGTGAACCCAGTTGTACAAAGAGCTCTTCTGGTCTCTGCTTTCGGTTCCTGAGAGTGCGCCCAGAAGTGGGATTGCAGGATCCTCTGCCAGCTCTGTTCAGCCTGTGAGGAGCCTCCATGCTGTCGTCCGTGGCGTCAGCGTGTTCTGCCTGCTCCCACGGTGCCCGGAGGTCCCAGGGTCCCCACGTCCTCGCCAGCATGTGGTGGTCTCTGTTGGTTTGATAGCAGCCATCCCAGGAGTGCGCGGTGGTCCCACTGCAGTTTTGAGTTGTGTCTTCCTGATGACCAGTGACGTTGAGCATCGTTTCATGTGCTTTTTGGCCCTGTGTGTGTCTTCTTCAGAGAAATCTGTATTCACATGCTTTGCCCACTTTTCATTCGCGTTCTTTGTTGGGATATAGAGTTGTTATATATTCTAGATGCGAATCCTCTATCAGATATATGCTTTGCAAATGTTTTCTCCCATTCCGTAGGTTCTCTTCTCATTCTGTTGTCTTTTGATGCACAGAAATTAAAAAAGTTTTAATTGAAGTATAATTGACTTAACAATATTATATTAGTTTCAAGTATACAGCATAGTGATTAAATATTTTTATATATTACAAAATGATCACCAGGGTAAGTCTAGGTTACAGTCAGTTACCATGCAGAGTTATTATATAATATTGTTGACTGTATTCTGCATGCTGTAGTTACGCCTCTATGATTTACCTATTATATAATTGGAGGTTTGTACCTCATAATCCCCTTCACCTATTTTGTCTGTCCTCCCCCATCTTTCCCCTCTATCTGTGAGTCTGTTTCTGTTTTGTTACGTTTTTCATTTTTTTCGTTTTTTAGATTCTACGTATAAGTGAAATCATGATATTTGTCTTTTCCCCTTATTTCATTTAGTGTAGTACCTCTGTATCCAGAGGTATTGTCGGTATTGTCACCGACAGCAAGGTTTCTATCTTCTTTATGGCCAAGTAATGTTCCATTGTGTGTGTGTTTAAACAACATGTCTTCTCGTCCGTTTGCCTGTTGATGGCATCTGGGTTGCTTGCATGTCTTGGCTGTCGTAAACAGCGCTGCAGTGAGCATAGGGATGCATTTATCTTTGTGAACTGTTATTTTTGGGTTTTTTGGCTAAATACCCAGGAGTGGAATTTCTGGGTCATATGGCAGTCCTGTTTTTAATCTTTTGAGGCATCCCCGTAGTGTCTGCGCCAGTTGGCGCGCCGTCCGTGGGCACTGGGCTCCGCTTTCTACACGTGCTCCCCAGCGTTTATTGTTTGCCGTCTTTCGATAATGGCCATTCTGACAGACATGAGGGGCTATCTCATTGTAGTTTTGACCTATGAGAAATTTTTAATTTTAATAAAGTCTAATTTATCTTTTTTTTCTTCTGTTGCCTGTGCTCTTGTAATATCCAAGGATTTATCACCAAGTCCAACGCTGTGAAGCTTCTGCCTTGTTTTTTCCTACAAGTTTCCTAGTTGAGGCCCTTGATGCGTTCTGAGTTCATCTGTCAGTGGCGTAAGCGAGGGTGCTCCTGTGTCCACCCTTTTGCAGCCATCTGTCCAGTTTCCCAGCCTTGTATGTTGAGGGAGTGCAGCTGCTGTGTGTGCAGGAACGTGCGTCTCAGCCAAGTCGGGCCGAGGTCGGGCTGTCCGAAGGCTGTTGGTGACTCTTGGGGAGCGTGCGGTGTGGGCGCCGGTCGGGGCCACTGTTGACCTTGCCCGGGAAGGCTGAGGCCAGGACACCGAGGAAGTGGGTAGAACTCAGCCAAAGAATGTTAAACATGTGGCCTGGTGATGCTGTGGCGTGAAACCCCCTAGGGGTGTGACCCGCGTGGAGGGCGCTGCCTCAGAGCTTCCTGGGTGTCTCCCGCGACTCATACACATCACCTGAGCCACAGGCTGGCGAGTCTCCCTGCCGCTTCCCCTGGAGACGCAGACCCTGCTCTCCCCTGCGCCGCCACTGCGCTCCCCCGCGGCTTGGCCCGTCCTCTTGGGGACTGAGGGAGGCAGCTGGTTCCGAGCCGCCGGCCTGCGCACCACTGCCGCCTGTGTGTCTGTTGGTTGTGCGTCTGTTGGTTTTGTCGGTGCCGCCTGTGTGTCATTGTTGGCTGTCTCTGTTTTGAAGCACGCGGCAAGTAAGGACCCCAGGGAAGGCCGGGACACCCGCGACCATGAGGAGCCGAAAGAGGAGCTGAGCAGGGGCGCCTCGGAGTTTGCACGCCAGCAGCTTTCACCCCCCTTCCCGTCCCTTCACCAGTCGCTACCTCAGAACCAATGCTACGTGGCCACCGCGAAGGCCCAGACAGGTAAGGGGGGCTCGCTGCGCTTGCCCGGCCCGCGTCACCGCCTCTGCTGGCCTCCAGCTCCCAGACGATGGCCGCCGTCAGGCTGACGGTCTGTGGCTGTGGTTTGGTGGGGTGGGTGCTCTAGGTCTGGGGCGGCGGTCAGTTCAGGGGCCGAGTGCCGGGGCCCGGCACGTGGGACGGCCCCTCCTGCGTCGGAGGGGGGCACGCCAGGTCCCTGGTGGGCCTTTCTGGAGGGGCGGCTCCTGGGGGGCTGCGGGGGGAGAGCTGTGGAGCTTGCTCCCTCTGGAGACTGGACTTCTTGGGGCAGACAGGCTCTCTGCCAGGCCCTAGGCTCGTGGGCGAGGGGCGACTCAGACTGTGAGAGGCCCGCGGCGTGGGTGGGGGCGTCCTCTTGTTGCTTGTCAGTAGTTTGATTTCAGACCCGAGTCTCTGGAGGACTCCCCGTTTCACCACGGGCACAGTCACCCCGCGAGGGGCACTCGCCTCTGACGTCATGGCGGTGGCAGACCTGGGCCCCTTGGTGTGTGCTTGCCACGCGGGGCGCCCTCTCACACAGTTGCCTGGGAGGTGCTTCTGGCCAGGCGTTTCCTGCCGTCCCCTGGAGCTCCCCATGGGGTCTCAGTTGTCTGCTGGGCTGCCGCCGAGGCTCATGTCCTCGCTGCGTCCTCCAGGGGGTGGGGACCCCCGGGTCACCGTCCTGCGTGTCTCGGGAGGTGGGACCTAATGGGCTGCGTGATCTGCTTCTCCCTTCTGGCAACGTGGGCGTCTGGGGACACCCGCCGGGACTGACCTCCCGGCGTGGCTTCCCCCTTTCCGTCCCTTCCCGCCTTCCCGTGGAGCTTCTGCTGCAGTGAAGGGCTTCCCTCTCCAGCTGTGCCTCTGTCTCAGCTTGTGGGCCCTCCTGTCCGTCTCCTGTCCATCACTGTCATGTCTGCGTTGTCCTGGGTCTGCCTTTCAGGCTGGCTCCTGAGTCCTCCGACGTGACCCCCTCGCTTGTGAGGACTTCCTGCCTCTCCCGGTGGACCCGGCCCGTGTTGTGCTTCCTGGTCCTGGGCCTAGCCTTGTCTCCAGGGAGCTCACGTTCTGTTTGTTGAAACGCAGTGGTTGTTTAGAACACAGGGTCAGTCTGTCTTCCCACCACACCTGGTGTTATTGTTAAATAGTAATAGAGTCTCAGCCAGCCAGAGCGGCAGCTCTCTGTGAAACAGCACCCGTGTGTGTGGGGCTTGGCGACAGTGTGAGGAGTTGGTGCTTCTTTTGGAAAGTTAAGATCGGGGACTTCCTTATGGTCCAGTGGTTAGGATTTGATGCTTTCGCTGCTGAGGGCGCGGGTTCATTCCCTGGTCAGGGAACTGAGATCCTGCAAGCCATGTGGTGCTGAGGGGGAGGGGGAGAGGGGTAGGGGCAGGAAGAGTTCTGATTGTTTCCGTTTGAGCTCTGTCATTTCCTCATCCGTTCAGGACAAGTTCTCTAAGCAGAAACACTTAGACTGTAGTAGTTTCCCATGGGAGTCCTTCCTGCCTTCTCTGCAGGCTGAAGACAGGGCCCCACAGGCTCAGGATTGCTAAGTGGCCTGGTGCCCAGACCCTCCCGCGGCCTGCTGGCCCTGCTCCTCGGGGGGACACAGGTCTTCCCTGCTCTGCCCATGGCCTTTCTGCGTGTGGCCGTGGCTGATTGTGACAGCACCCATGTGGCCTGAGAGTGGGCGGCCTCTGTCCACCTGGTCCTTCAGACCCGCCTCCCTTCCTTCTTCTGTGCTGCCTCCTGTCCGTGTTAGACTTGCCTTGGGACACTCACGATTTCAGGTCATCCCTTCTTGTTCCCACTTTAAGTCACAGCGGTGAGAACCCCAGTGGGCCTGTGTGTGCCGTTCAGCCTCATCGCAGGCTGGCAAACTCCAGATTCGCAGGAAGCACACAAGCCGCCTGCCTCCCAAGATTGCTGGGAGGCCTGCTGGGGGTCTCACCTGCGCCCCGTCCCGTGCGTGGATGGCGTCGTATCTCCCGTGCTCCCCTGCAGGCCCAGGTGCTGATGGTTCTCGTGTCCTGGCGCCCATGCGCACAGCCATCTGTTTCTCCAGTGTCTCCTTGCCGTGTTTTGTGGAGTTAAACATAAGGCGTTTCTCTCAGTCCTTTAGAGGAGCTCCTCCATGTTAAAGCAGTGGTTTTCAGATTTTTTAGAAAATAATTCTTGAAACTTCTTACAAAAAGAAAACATCATAGGAACCCTCACTCCAAAGCAGTGAGCCTGGGGCTGCCTCGCCCGGAGCAGCGTCAGTGGCCACAAGCCCTCCCAGCCCCTGCTTGGTCCCGCGACCGCTGCTCTTGCCTGGAAGCCCTGCTCCCACGTCACCCTCCCGCCTCCTGTGCGGGGACAGGGCACTGAGCCGTTGTGGGGTTCTGACCAGGATGGAGGGTCCTGGCGACCACGACTTGTCGGGCACGGCCGGCTTGTGTGTGGCCGCTGCACAGCGCGGTGTTTCCTCGCGAACAGATTGCATGGTCCGTGGTGGGTTTTCTGCTTTCTCTGTGCAACTTACGACACTGTTGTGGGTGCTGATGGTATTTTGGTGATCAGCCTGCCTTTAAAAACGTTTGAATGGCATTTCTTTTCTTCTCTTGTCCCCTTTTGACTTTTTTTTTCTTTTTAGCTTGCTTGCCTTTTGTTTTAGCAGCTGCAGTATCTCGGAAGAAAAAGCGAAGAATGGGAACCTATAGCCTGGTTCCTAAGAAAAAGACCAAAGTGTTAAAGCAGAGGACGGTGATTGAGATGTTTAAGAGCATAACTCATTCCACGGGGGGCTCCAAGGTAAGGGGTGTGCCAGGCTGTGGGGGCCCTCTGCCTCTCTGCTCGGCTCCAGGGCAGCCCCGCCATGCCCACTGGGAGGAGTCAGGGGGTTCCGACGCTGCATCTGCACTGTTCCAGGGTGAGAAGGATCTGAGTGACGGCTCCCTCCATGTGAATGGCGAGAGCCTGGACCTGGACTCGGAGGAGGACGACTCGGAGGAGCTGGACGAGGATGAGGACCAGGGCGGCCCGCCAGCTGCTGCGTTCCCCGCTGAGGATGGCAGGGCCTCCAAGGATGGCATGCTGGCACCTGACCGTAGCCAGAAGGTGGGTGGCACGTACACCCCACCTCAGTCCTGGGTGAGGGGCTAGAGGACATCTGCACTTGGGCCTTAACAAAGCCCTGCTTGCTTGTGGCTGCGATTCTTGGGTTTCGTCTCTGTTGGGTCTTTGGACAGTCTGTTTTCATCAGAGCAGTGCTTGTCTTTCTGGGCAGTACACCCTGGAGTAAATGTCTTGTCTGTAGGCTCTGGAGTAACAGGAACAGTGTCATAAATGACTACTCTGCCAGCCACACTGACCCAGTGCCTGTACAGCCTGCCCATGGCCCTGGCTTGGTGTCCTGGGTGCCCGCCCAGGGTGCGGTCTTCCTGCAGGTGAGGACCCCGTCCTCCTGGTGGGCGAGTGCCCAGCTGTGACAGGCCTGCGGGGCGGCGCCGTGTGCGGGCGTGCTTGCTGAGCTCAGGTGTGCAGTGTGGTGGTCCCGGCGGTGCACCGCCCGGGGCAGTGCGGGAGTCCCCACAGGGGCCCCGGGAGCAGGCCTGGGCAGAGCGGCTCTTGGCGTTCGGGCCTTCTAGTCGGGACGGATGAGTTGGAGGAGGAGCAGCAGCCGTGGCTGAGAGTCGGGCAGATGCAGAGCCGTGGTTTTCTCGTCAGCGCCGCATGTCAGAGCCGTCTGAGGAAACCCTGGGCGGTCTTTGTGTAAGACAGACGCCATATCTGACGAGTTACTCTGGACTAAGGGTGGGCAGAGACGATGTGGTGAGTTTCTTGCAACAGTGGCTTTTTGAAAGTGTGTGATTTTCTTGATTATCCTTTTGCACTTGGCAGTAGCGCTGTGGGTATAGATTTTGATGTGTGTGAAGGATTTTCTTTCAGCCTCTGGAGTTCAGGAGTGTCTTGTTGTTCAGTCACTCAGTCATATCCAATTCTTAGCGACCCCATGGACTGCTGCAAGCCAGGCTCCTCTATCCTCTACTATCTCCCAGAGTTCGTTCAAATTCATGTCCGTGGAGTCGATGGTGACATCCAACCGTCTCATCCTCTATCGCCCACTTCTCATGTTGCCCTCGGTCTTTCCCAGCATCAGGGTCTTTTCTAGTGTGTTGGCTCTTTGATTCAGGTGGCCAAAGTATTGGAGCTTTAGCTTCAGCATCAGTCGTTCCAATGAATATTTGGGATTTATTTCCTTTAGGACTGACTGATCTCCTTGCAGTTCAAGGGACTCTCAAGTCTTCTCCAGCACCACGGTTTGAAAGCATCAATTCTTCAGCACCCAGCCTTCTTTATGGTCCAATGCTCACATCCATACATGACTACTGGAAAAACCATACCTTTGACTTTATGGACCTTTGTCAGCAAAGTGATATCTCTGCTTTTTAATACCCAGTCTAGGTTTGTCATAGCTTTTTTTCCAAAGAGTAAGCATCTTTTAATTTCATGACTGCATTCACCATCCATAGTGATTTGGGAGCTCAAGAAAATAAAGTCTGCCAGTGTTTCCACTTTTTCCCCATCTGTTTGCTGTGAAGTGATGGGATCAGATGCCATGATCTTAGTTTAGCCAGCCTTTTTAGTCTCCTCTTTTGCCCTCTTCAAGAGGCTCTTTAGATCCTCTTTGCATTCTGCCATTTGAGTGGTATCATCTGCATATCTGAGGTTGATATTTCTCCCAGCAGTCTTGATTCTAGCTTGTGAGTCATCTAGCCAAGCATGATGTACTCTGCACATAACTTAAA